CACCACCCACTGCCAACTCTTGGGCTACTCTTTTACCAACGAATAGTGGGATTGACCGTCATATTATAACGCCTCCACGGTTGAAAGGGCGAGCATGTTTGGTGTGACGGGGATCCGAACCCGCGACCCGCAGATTGCGAGTCCAGTGCCCTAACCACCTGGCCATGCCGGGCCAAGCTTGTAATATTGGCTTAGTTCTTACTGGCTACTTGTGTATGGATTTTTGTATAGTTTTGTGTGTTCATCTCTACTTTGTTTTTGTACTTTTTGCCATTGCCATTCCTACATCATACTTAATTTTTATAATATTTTGTTACTTCTTTATTATGCATTAAATAATAGATAATTCCATTGAATTAACATAGACCTGATGAAGACATGTGCCAACAGAAAGAAATGTTGCCCTCAAACCAGATAGATGATAATTATCCACCTAAACCTTCTTTGAAACAACAAATAACAGGATAAAATATGTTATAGTTTTGAGCAAAATCACAACGAAGTGGTGTTCTTTATCTTGTTATGACGTTGTATGTGAAGGTGAGGTTTTAGTCCACTATACGGGTTTCACTACTTCGAATCTGTTGCCGTTTTAATTTACGACTTCTCGTCTTCAGAGGAATCAAAACGAAGATAACCTGAAGACTTCAGGACCTTGAGATCAACTTACTTCTCGTGGATAATTAACCTTTGTTAACATCAAAGCATAAATAATACTTTTTTAATGTTTACTTATTAAATAATCCCATTTACCCTGTCTTTCAAGGCATTGGAACAGTAAATGCGGGGCGTAGAGACATTTTTTTAAAAAGTCACAAAAGTTAGAAAGTCGCTATACTTTTTTTTTTTGTAATAGTGATGTTACATTTCTACAGTCGGTCATGGAAAGGTTATACTTTTATTTGCTTTCTTCACAGGTCATATCAGTCTTCTCGCTGATGTTCCACATCTTCATTTAGACAGCGATCAGACACGGCATCGATCAAATTCAACCACGGAACTCTGTCTTTTACCTGGGGTCTTGCCAGATGGCTACTGTCTGTCTAGGTCCTCTGTTGACAGCATAAGTCATAGAGAAGTATCTCATCTTGCCTTTAGTGAAACGCCTGTATGGTGACGTCAAATGTGGAGACAACTTGCCTGTTTTATCTTCTTTCATAAGATAAGATATTTTATTAAAAAATAATATATGACGAACATTTTCTATAAGTTAAAGTCATTGTAGCTAATAATCAAATATTCCAAGGAGAAAACTATTCAGGAAATGATTGCATTTTATGTATAAATCTTTATCGGATGAGTGTTTTTTTGGGTTTTTTTCAGAAACAAACATTTGAAACAATGAGCACGTTTTCGTAAATATGTAGTTTAGCTGAATAACAAAGCTAATCCATAAAAAAACGTAATGATCTTCTTTCACTTCTTCTGTTTGGGAAAGTCACTTATAATTCGTTATTTCATGCTCAAAAGTGACCAGTCGAATTTGGGACATCATATGTATTTTTAATAAGATGTAATGTTGTTTAACTTTTCAAACATAAAAAGAATTACATTTAACTAAGCAGTGACGCGAAACAAAGGAAATCTTACATTAGGCCAAGTTCATTGTTCTAAGTATCGTGTTTGATTTCTGGCTTTTTAAAAACAAACTTCTGAGTTTTTGTTTAATTTCAATCAGCCCTGATGTAATTTAAAATCAAATAAGAAACGTGTATAAGAAAGCAAACTTTGAAATGGCTCAGAAGCATTATATAATTATTTTACAAAGAAAGCTAATCAGCTTGTCACCAGAAGTAGCCCAATAACACAACACTCCGTTCTAGCTAAAGTATGTACCTCTTCTGTAACTGTAAATAAGATAATTCACTTAGATTTACAAAAGTAAAACAAGAGCTGTGTTCAAGCTTCTCCTAAAACACATAGTCGAACGGAAAAACAGTTGTAGAAAGCTGTACGAGCGGTATATGGTATGTGATAAATGGAAATATGTCGCCATATTAGACTAAGTAATTAGAAAAAATCCTGATATTTTATTATCATCCTGCTGGTGATACGACATTTCAAAAATGGCACAGAGCATGCCAACAAACCTCTTTTAGAAGATTTATGATCGTTGTAGGCTACAGCTACATCGGTAAGTTAAGCAGAGGAGAGTCTAGAACAATGCCAAGGTTAACTCTTCAAACTATCAGGCTAACGTGCAGATCAAAATACCATAAATAAATACCATCCTTGTATGAACTGGGGGTAATAAAGTATATCTCTATCTAACCATACACCCATATCAATAAACCAATTACTCTGTCGTAATATGCAAGTACGAACATATTTCCCATAAACGTCTGTATCTTTGGTCAATTCTTCCACTTATGGCTGATGAACTTTGAAAATATAATATCGGGGGAGTACGGGGGGGATACCCTCACAAAGTTTCCTGCAATTAAAAGTACGGTACGTAACAATGGTCAATAACCATAACCATCTCATAAAACAACATGAGTGATGGAAGAACGGGCTGTAACGTCACGTATCCTGGTATTGCTACCATAGACCATGAACCTTTGTATACACAAACACCTATGTTTTTCTTCAGTATTGTTTTATGAGAACAATCAATTTTATCGGAAAAATGAGCCAGTAGAAATAAAAATGTACTTAAAACGACAAAAAAAGAGAGAGAACAATATAATTTCAAACTAACCAACTTTTTCTTTTATCTAGTTTATTCCTTAATTTCGGGCGCTAGTAGGACTCATTTTGTTCACAATAATCTATTTAAACTAAATGTACTTTTATTTTTCCCGGTGGAATCGGGTCTTAGTCGTATAGACAGATATTTATGTTGCGTTATTGGTTGTAAAATTTGTTTTAGTTTTATTAATTGTGTGCTTGAAGTAATTCGGTATTTTGTAAAAAAAAAAAAATATATTATCTTATATAACCGAAAAATATCACTATTTGTTATGTCCTCTCTATTGTAACGAATAATATATAAATAAAACTAGTTTAGATAATAAATCACCTTAAAAGAGGGTTATTTTATGAAGTCATAACTTTTATGGTGAGTTTTTATGTATTTCAGCCTTCTTACACAAAGTTATTTCCTTATATATATACATATGTCACCTAGAAAAAAATACTTATTTTATAAGAAATTTAAAGGAAATTTTTCTATGGTTAATAAATGATGTCCTTATTAAAATGTAGAAACTTATTACTCTTCAAAATATTATGAATAATAAATGGATGAATATTTTTATATATCACGCAAAAGTGATTAGTTTGCATTATTATACAATGAAAGGTTTCAGCAACAAAAGCTGCCAGTAGGATACAATGAAAGGTTGCAGAAATAAAAGCTGCTAGTAGGATACAATGAAAGGTTTCAGCAACAAAGGCTAATAATAGGATACAATGAAAGGTTGGGGTGTAGCCACAAAAGCTGCTAGTAAGATTCAATAAAGGATGCAGCAACAAACGTTGTTGGTAGGATACAATGAGAGCTTGCAACAGCAAAGCTGTTAGTAGGATACCGAAACTGCTGTTCGCTAATTTTGCTTTAGTTGCAAAAAAAAAATTACCCTTAAGGAAACCTTAACTGAGCCCTAAACCCAGCTTTCTCCCTTTATACCAGTCAAACAACGCACGAATTTCCTAGTTTTAACTGCACCCGATTTAAAGATAAATAATGAAAATAATCACTCACACAAACTTAACAGATTATTTAATTTCTAAAGGATTAAACTGATTTATAATTTCTTAAAATGATTCAATTATAACGTAAGATATTGTATCAAATTTGGAACTTGATAATATCCCTTATTCTCCAAATTGTAAGGGACCCACGATCCTATCATAAGATCCCACATTAATTCCTGTATTAAAACGATTATATGTCTGAGTGGTGTATATATTCAGGGTTCTATCCCTGCGATGGCACAGTTCAGATATTCCATTGTGCAGCTTTGTTATCAACACTTAACAAACAAAAATAAATTTCATGCTTAGATATTTAAAATATAATACATTTTTTAAAATATTTGAATAGCTGTGGTTATTGATTTTTTGTTGTTATAAACAAAGCTTCACAATAGATTATTTGTGCTTGGCTAACTGCAAGTGTCAAACCCCAATTTTTAGCGTTATAAGCCCTGAGACTTACTGCCGAGCCAACGGGGGAAAGTGGCTCAAGTTAAAGAACAAAAATGTATAACATGTTACAAAATATTATTAAACACGTTTTACAATTATAGTATAAGAAGACCTATTCTACATTAGTGTAAAGCTTATCAAGGGAAATATGCACAGATTCAGGCATTTTTATGTATATAGTGAGTAAAAATTATACGAATCGCGTTCTCTAAGGATTCATGCATGGACCACGATATTTAATATTCGATATAAAGAATTTAGTCGCTGTTAACTTAAGAATGTTCAATATACGTTTTTGGAATGATATAAACATTTTTAATTCTGATTATTATCTGAAAAATGTTGCAGATATTCTTCAAAATGATTGTACTAAAGGTAAACAAACGGTTCCATGAAAAATATAATCTACTTAATAAAAAACAATTTGTTTTCGTACTCGCAATACTAGATGGAATGAAATTCCAAAGTTTTATTATTATTATTTCACTAATTGCTTACAAACTGCTCTCCTTTAGCTCAGCGGAAAGTCTGATGGTTTCGATAGCCATGTGGACAGACCACAGACAGCACATTGTATAACTTTGTGCTTAACAACAAACAAACAATGCTTAGAAAATAATTATATTTGCAATTCTTTGACTATCTGTCTTCGTGTTTATACTAAAGGAGTTGAGTGACTGAAATAGTAGGCGTTTTATTGAATGAGATTTTCAGTTGGAAATCTCATACAATATATATTTGAAACAAATTAGTTTTATTTTATATAATTTATTTGTTGATTCCAATTTATCTGTGTAAAATGGTGCATGAAGCATTAGT